CTTTGAAACACTTTGTATCCATATTTTTGATAATATAAGCTGTGAAACTCGGTTCTCATCTTCTCTACCTATTATCAGACTACTGTTCGTTGTGTGTGGGAGAACGATGCATGGCATGTACACACTTGCGTGAGATGGTCTCCAGGACCCATGCATAATGAAGAGGGTAGATAAGGAAGAGAGCAACGTACCTCATAGTGCTGCCCCCAACCACAGATTTCTCACCGGCAACCTGATGTGCATTTATGATGACCGGTTTTTGCCTCGGCACAACCAACAGCAGAATGCAGTTCCACCTCGGGTTTAATGCCACATCAGCGAGCTCTCATCATCCAGTGTACACCCCTAATGTCACCACATAGCTTCCCGGCGCTGCCACACGACCCTGGGCCGCCTATCATTCAACACCCAAGCCTTATCACTGCCCCACACTTCATGCGAAGCACCAAACAGCTATTGCGAAGAATCAATGAAGCGCAGTTCGAACCAGCTCCGATACCAAATTGCGAGGGAAATGAGCAAAAGCGAGATGACAATATTCAGATTGCACAATCACATTGAATGCCAGATCGTATCACACTGTCCAGAAAGCAGCATTGCACCAATAAGACACCAATGGAGAATCGTAACACTGAAAACCAATGTCGATGAGAGCTTGCTCTCACCACCACCAACATATGTGTCCAGGCCTACCTCCCTACTTGGCGCTCGGCGCCCAGCCTACTCCCTACACAGCTACTACCAGCCTCGTAATTGACAATGCAACTGTTGACGTCAGCAGCTCACGAAGTACTTGAAGATGTCGCCCTTAGCAGACCATCGCCAATACCAGGTATGTGCCCTCACATCATCATCATCATCATCATCATCATCATCATCATCATCCTTCTCTCTCTACCCCTGACTTACACCTTTGTCTTCCTTCTGTACACCCGAAGACCACCCCTGCGCCTCACTGTAGTCCAAGCCCATCCAGCTATGGAGGCTGGGCTATGGCACTGCCCTCAGCAGCGCCCTGCTCCCTGCACAACCGCACGCGCTTGCACCTTGCCTCTCAGCGCCAGCAGCAGCCCACGAGCGTCCGCTCCAGCAGCGCTGCCGCCAGCATGCAAGTGCTGAATGCCTGGCCAGACAGCGAGCTCTTTCCTATATGGAAAGAGCCTGCCTCTCTTGGCGGCCTGGTTGGCCTGGGCCTCTGCCCAGAAGCTTCCGGTAGGCCCCAGGAGGCTGTGCCTCCAATGCTACTGCTGGGCCTCCGTTCGGTTGGGCCTCCCAACTGCCTGTGTATGAGGCTGCGATTCTCCCCCAGGGCCTGCACATTTTTGGAAAAGCCTGGAAGGCTGTGGAATGTCTTGCTTCTCGGCCTGTGTTTCCCTCAACCAACTGGCGCGTTGAAACTGCCTGGACCCCAAATACGAAATTGACAGCTGAGGGCCTCTTGTGATTTGTTAGGCCCGCCTTCACTTAGGGCAGGCACATCTGCAGCAGGGGCCCCTTAAACCTGCCGAGGACCCAGATCCTCGCAATATGAAATATATTATTATATATAGCTCTGTTTGTACGTGAGAGGCTCGGTGAAGGGGGAGTTTAAAGAAGAATGAGATCTGGTTGTACATGAGAGGCTCCGTGAAGGGGGAGTTTAAAGAAGAATGAGAAAAATGAATGGTTTCAGTGTGCCCTTCATGTTTGTCTTTTTTTTTAATTTGTTATTTTTGCCTTTTGTTTCGCAAAGTGTGCTCGTTTAGTTCATAGTTATGTGACAATATATAGCTTATTTGTATTTTATATATCGTTTATTATATTTATTTTCTATGCCTCTTTTATGGATTTTTTATTTACATATATAATATATATTGGAGAGGCGCAGGGAGCGTTCTTCCTTCATTTTGGCCTGCAATCGACATGCCATTTGTCGGGAGTGTATGGTGGACATGCTCAATGCCAGCTGTCGTGGCAATTTTTGTGCTGAGAATGCTCAGCTAGGTCTCCATGTGCCCAGCCACCTCATCATTACAACATGTGTCCTCTCTGTCGTCAAGGACAGACTCATTCTTGAGCCTTTTCTTTTTCTCTCCTTTGCCTTCATCTTTATTCCACACTCCGCACTTTCCCTTTTTCATTCTTTGTCTGTCTTTCCTTCATCTCTCTTCCCTCTGTTTATCACCTCTCCCTTTACTCTGCCTCTTTCTCACAGTGGAGAAGTGGGCTGTTATGGCAGACAGGGATGCGGGCAGCTCACACTCAACTTCATCAACGTGGCAAGTCTTGTACGTGAGAGGCACGGTGAAGGGGGAGTTAGAAGAAGAATGGGAAAAATGAATGGTTTCAGTGTGCCCTGATGTTTGTCTTGTTTTTAATCTTTATTGTTTGTTTCGCGAAGTGCACTCTTCTAGTTCATAGTTATGTGACAATATATATGTTTGGCACGAGGAGCATTGAGGACTGCTGACCCAAATGATTCTGCAGCCAGCTGTGGCCCGCAGCAGAGCCATGCGACCACCTGGCTGAACCCCAGCTGGGCCTCCATGTTCCAAAACTGCCCCTGGACCACACCTGTCCGCTGCAGCTGGGTCGGGCGGGTTGTAGCCACGGCCACCTAATTGCAGGCACTGCTTCGGTGTATTGCTAGCTCGTAGTTGGTGTGCATGTCCCTTAGATTTTCTGCTTTCAACTCGGCTCGATTATGTCTGGTCTTCTTTGAGATTTTGCATGGTTCCTTGCGATTTAGTGAAATAACAATTGATGGATTAATGCTGCCATGGTCTACTCGAAATGTGATGATGATCTATATGCAGAGAGAATAGGGCCCGTGAAGGAGCGATTGGTAAGGGCCGTGTTGCGGATCAACGAACACAAGCTGACCAGACGGATAGAGATGGAGTTGTGGTGGGAGATGTTGCAGAAACAAGTGTGCTTGCTTGCGAAGCTGGCAGACATTCCTGCACTCATGCGATCTTTCACTGACAATCTGATGCTGAAGTTTCTGAATGAAAAGCTTCTCCAAACCTCTAACCCCAATGTGATGATGAATGATGGTGCCTCACTGTCACGGATGACGCCCAACCTGGCCAGGGTATGCGTTTTTTCTTCCCCCCCCGCCATGCTATTAATCCAAGCTCCTACTCTCTTTAAAGTTTGAGCAGCCCCTCTTCCCTTTGTTTCCTGCTTCTCTTTCTTATGTGCTGTTTGTTCGGTTTTCTCTGCTGTGTTGTTAGGGTCCACTCCCTTACGCTTACAAGCACTGAACTTTTTGCAGTTGTCCTTGTGCTTCATTGTATGATGTACGCTCAAAGTAGCCGGGAGCGTAAGGGTCTCTCTCTCTCTCTCTCTCTCTCTCTCTCTCTCTCTCTCTCTCTCTCTCTCTCTCTCTCTCTCTCTCTCTCTCTCTCTCT